TCTATTACATCACCAACTACGCCACGAAAGATGACGTCTCTCCCTGGCAGATGGTTGCCAAGGCGGCTTTGTTGAAGCAATCTATTGAGAATGCAAAGGTTGCTGAGCCACCAACAGCGACAGATCTCCGACTTCGAGAAAAAGGTGTCAATAATTTTGCACTACGCTGCTTTAATGCCCTCTCTCATGACCGAGAGATCAGTGGTGTGCAGGTCGCTAGCGTCTTGCTTCAGCTACCAACCTATTACACGATCAGCTACAACTTCGTCCGTATCAACCTCTGGTGGCTAAGGCGTTATATTCGGGCAATCATTCAGCCAGATAACCTTGAAAGCGGCCCCTCTTCTGATCCCATGGCAGAAGAACCTTGCACGTATGAAACGGGCGACACCGGCCCCGTAAGCATCTTTGACAATTATAAGTGGCGTGGACCGCACCTGGCTCCTCTTTCATTATTTGAATACTGCATGCTTGTAAAGACTAAGAATATACGCGACGCTGTTGCGAATGACGTGGACTTCGAACCAACCCATCCTAGATATGGCACGCATGTACAGCACTTGGCGCGCACAACGTCCCAGGTGGCCGCCGTGACTTTCAATGGACAGCTAACGGAGTTCCAGGCCGCAGAAGACGCGATTCCGGGAGGCCATCCGAAAACGACTGCGATTATAAATGACATGGCTGAGATATTACTGGGCCTCTTTGTTCCCTGGGATCACTTGGTTGATCTCTTCCGCCGGCATGCGACAAAGCGGGACGCCCATGTTCAAGTATGGGCGGCCGTTGAACCAACCCTCCCATTTCACAATCGGGGATTTGCAAGAAAAATCGAGTTGCTGCGGAAGTCTAAGGAAGACTGCCAAGCCGATGCAAGCTTGTGGAAGTCGGCGAATGGCGCAGCTGATTCATTTCACCATGACGTTGACGGATTTGAGCCGCCAAATTTTGCTTCTGATGGCGACGAGAACGATGAATGCTGTCAACTGCAGGATGAGACTTTTAACACCGAGACGTTGATCGCCGCCTATCACTCCATCAGGAAAGCATGGCATCGAGAGACGCTGGTCACTGGACGCCGGATTCCTCCCTTGCTCCGCGCCATAACCCCAGTGCGAAGCTTGCTACTACAGAACCTCCGGCCGCTGGATATCTTTCATACTCCTGCATACGAAACATCTGGCCTAAAGTACCTCCCACCATCCACTTTACAAGCGTGGGAGGTTCACCTGAAAAGTTTCGCCAATCTTGATCATGGGCAAAGCACAGATCGTAATCCCACCAGCTCTAACTTCGCACTCGACGATTTCGACATCCAGATTGAAGATGGCATCTTGGAACCTACACTGGTTGGCTCATACACGGTCCCTGCTATGGATGACCTCCAGTCCCGGGTTGACCAGAGTCCCACTGGCGCCTCTCTGGCGTCCCTGGTCGTTGAAGTGATTCCCCTAAATCAGAAACAGCTAATGGTCGTGGAGAGGGTGCTATCTGAAGCTTTGGCCTGGGCGGACCATCCTTATGACTCAGCGCAACGCAAACAGACCCTCCTGTATGTCGGAGGTGAAGGGGGCACGGGGAAGAGCCAGATCATCAAGGCAATTGATGCTGGTATGAACCTTATCGGACGAAAACACGAGGTAATCCTCATGGCCCCAACGGGTGCAGCGGCCGATAACATCGGCGGGAATACGTACCACACATCTTTAGGGATCTCTATCGACCGCTCACGGGGAACTGCGATGACATCTCGAGTTAGACGACTCTGGTCTCGCAAGACCATCATGTTCGTGGACGAAGTAAGCATGATGGATCTGACCATGATCAAAGTCATCGATAATCACTGCAAGATCGCCAAATCCCTCGATAGATCCTCCACTGATCTTTTCGGTGGGCTTCCTGTCGTCATCTTCATCGGTGACTTTTTCCAGTTTCCACCTGTTCGGGGACCGGCCCTATGGAAGGAGCCTAGAAGGGGAAGAGATGAGGATGAGAACGGTCGGCTCCTCTGGCATCAGTTCAAACAGGTAATCATCTTGGATGAGCAAATGAGACAATCAGAAGATGCTCCGTTTCGTGATCTCCTTTCACGAGCGAGGGCTGGAACTTTGACAGAAGCCGATCGAGCCTTTCTTAACAGCAAAACCATCACGTCCCTGGTCAGCCCGCTGTTGGAAGACGCCACCACTGTCGTGAAGTTAAACTCTCTGCGTCACCAGGTAAACCGCGTTCGAATTGAGCAATTCGCGCGGACCCGGTGTCAGAATGTATATGTCTTTCCTGCGCATCATACGCGGACCAGGTCCACTGGCCCAATAAACCTGCGACTCCGTGCAGACGACTTGCTGCAACAGCCGGACCAAGGCACCAAGATCCCTTTCCCCGGGCTCTTTTTGTACACGCCGAATATGCCTGCCGCCATACTGACGAACATCTGCACCCTGCTCGGCCTTGTCAATGGAGCAGCGGGGACTGCTATAGGCATCGTGGTAGATCCTACTGGTGGGTTTGTCTTCACGTAGATAGTCGCGAACCTGACCCTCTGACACCTCCCTATAAGCCGAATTCTTTGAGATTGACGACCTCTATATCATGTGCACCAAACCACCTGCCTGCATTTTATTCAAACCGGACAAAGCAAAAGTCACTGGATTTCAGGACCTTGAACCTTCAGTCCTGCCAGTCTTTCCATTAGAGCGATCTATCACCCTGAAAGGCTATTCGGTCCGTAGGAAGCAAGTTCCCATGTGCCCAGCTTTATGCCTCACTGACTATAAAGTGCAAGGCTCGACCCTTGTGGCTGCTGTCCTCGACCTTAAAGATGACCCCACGATCCGGGGACAGGATCGTCACCGGAAGTATTGCTCGATGTATGTGCAGCTATCCCGACTGCGTTCCTCTAAAGGCCTTCATCTCCTGCAGAAACTCGACATGCAAGATCTTCGATTCAGACCTGATCCCCGACTACTAACTGAAATGCAAAGACTTCAGGACCTCGAGAAGGAGACGATTGCTGCTTGGCGTGAAGCTTCAAATAAATGAGACCGTGCTCCACCATAACAGAATAGTCCTTGCGATGAATCAACGTAAAGGTACTCGTTTTAGACCTCAAACTTTTGGTAGACGAACACTCGTAGCAATATATACTAAGGGGCCCCATCCCGTGATAAATAATTCAATTTAACTTTACGGATATATTTCTACGCACATGCTCAACCAATCACCCATTTTGCCCACATCGTACTGCGTGGCTTGGCATACATATATTTGACTCATACTTTTATCCGTGCATAATTATTATCCGCGCCCTATCAAAAGCAAGCGTTCATTGTCATACTATCTCTTCAAATCCAGTTCACTTCGTCAACCCTTTTCGTTTCAGGGCCACAGCGTGCGCAGCGCGCGTCTTCCAGTTCCGCCACGCACCCTCGTGATTCGCCCCTTGCATTTCCTCTTCGAGTCTGGTGTGTCAGGGCTTAGGGTTCGCCGTGCATGTATGCAATGCATCTGCACGTTGTCCTCTTTGTGATTGCTTCGATCTTTGTTCTAGGGCCGTCTTACTAGGACGCTCTATTGCTTATTGCCATATAGCGCCCGACGATGTTATTGTCAGATTAGATAGACCCCGCACATCTGCTGACGAGACTGAAGTGTGCTACCGACGCTCAACATTGCCGTACGCAAAAATTATCCTTGAGAATTAGAATACTCGTTGAATACCTTTTACTTAGCTCACTGATACATCACCTGCAACACAATGGAGTGCCTAGGTGTTCCTATTGACCTTCGGCTGCGGCGAGTGTTTCGTGAGGTAAGACATATCATATTAAAAGGGATAAGAAAAATTCTGAGCATTTCAGCTTCTCTATAGCTTTAGATCGTCTCTCGAGGTCGACAAGAGTGACTACCCGATATGTCACCTAAGCTTCGGACTCGAAATAGCGCGACCGGAATTGAAGGGTGGTGTGTTTATTGTACTAGAACGGCCACATTCGAAATAGAAAAACTCGGACGGCTTAGTAGAAGGCAAACGTAACTGCCGAACTATTAATGTAGTGTCGGACCTTTTTTCTGCTATAAACAACGCTAAGTTAGGCTTTAACGATATCAGCGTATTTGATGCAATACCCTTTCTAGGTAAGACAGTCGCGGGAAAAGATCACTAGGATGTCATCGATGACGCACATAATGTTTTTGCCGATATAGCTAGAGCTAAAGTCCCTGATATTCTATGCTGCTTCATAACTAAGACGCGAAACCCTCTTGTTAAGGAGCTTTAGAGCCGAGGACTAGGGCGAAGTTTCTACCCTAATAACCTGAAGCTTACCGGATTTGGTTTTTCGTCTACCCATGTGAATGTATTTCACCCAAGTTACGCTATTAATAACTATCCGATATCCTATTGCTTTAAGCAGCTCCTGGTTCTAGAGTTTACGAAGGCATTTGCTCTTTAGAGGCAGAGCTAGACTGAAGAGCCATGGATGAGGGGTTTGAGAGATATATGCCGCATCAAAGCAAAAAGGAAAGTCGGTGGTAAGAAAGTCTAATATATTATACTCTGACACTTTCTTATGGATATCGACGAGAAATGGAACCTATCGTATATCAAAGAGTAATGGGAAGAATTTCTTAAACATCCCTGGATGCACAGTTTGAAAAACGGTTCTTCAAAAAACCTAAAGACATCGGGGCTTGGGATTTACAGCGCAAGCTTGTGGATTCAAAGATCCCCTAGCTATCTTGTGAAATTGTAAAGCGTGTCCCAGATTTCTCACCAAGCTTATGAAGCGGTGGGAGGCCGGTGGGAGGCCGGTGGAGCCAGTGGGAGACCGGTAGTAGTTCTGCGAATCACGACTCTCGAAGTCCAATCTCCCCTTATTAATTCCTAATTATTGATTACTATTCATAAATTACTAAGACAAAAGCCGGGTATAACTATCTAGTAAACTCCCCGATATGTGATAGCTCGGTGTGAACTATATATTTTATACCTCCGAACTATGACTCCTTCTCTCCTCATCGTCGGCGCCACCGGCAATACCGGCCGTGCTGTCGCCCAAACACTGCCAAAGTTGCTTCAATCCAGCAGCACTTTTTCCGGGCACCGCATCATTGCTCTCACTCGCTCCTCGGACAGCCCAGTGGCACAAGAGCTTGCCAAACTGACCGGAGTTGAAGTGATCGAACAGAACTGGGTTGAGATCACCACCGACTGGCTCCGCGAACACCAAGTTGATAGGGCGTTCATTGCATCACATAATGGGCCCAATCAATTTGCCGAAGAGTCGAACTTCCACCTTAACGCTCTCAACGCCGGCGTCAAGTATGTCGTGCGGATCTCAACTACGGCTGCAAATGTCCGCTCGGACTGCCCTGCCTACTATGCACGCCAGCACTGGGCTATCGAGGCTCTCCTCAGCTCACCCGAGTTCAACAACTTGCAGTGGACCTCTCTTCAGCCGAACGTCTTCTCGCCACTCATTATGTCCCCTGCTGCAGAGTTCATCAAGAAATACCGCAAGACTAGAGAGCAGGATACACTTCGGCTGATGGCGTCAGCGGATGCACCTATTGGCATTATCGATCCTAACGAGATTGGTGTTATTGCAGCTCGTCTCTTGCCTCAGGATGACATTCTCGTTCATAATAAGGCCAAATACGTTCTGAATGGACCCGAGGATATCACTGGAAAGCAGATTGTCCACATGATTGAGCAGCACATTGGTACGCCGGTCAAAGATGTTAGCTACAAAGACGTCTCGTTCGTCGACATGCTATATGAGTACCAGTATGCGGCAACCAAGCAATCGAAGAACATAATCTACTCGAACAAGCGGGCTCTCGAGACAGCATGGGAAGGGAAATGCTCGAATTCTACGACCAGCAAGGAGATCCTGGAGCTTGCTGCTCCACAGCGTACGCCTGCTGATATCTTGAAGGCTTTACTTGAGGGGTAAGGAAACCATATGTTGAAAAATAGTGGTCCCAGCGGACGAACAATTTATTGTATTGGGGAAACGTGAAATCTATCTGGCCTATAAGCAAAGAAACAATAACCAATGATATCAGTTCCAGCAAATCTGGAGCGACTAGCTTAGCTAAGCATTAGAGGGCCCGAGTACCTCAAACATGAACACCAAAGTATCACTTCTCAACAAAGAGATTTATTCATATTCGCAAATCTCCGTGAATATCTATGAACAATCATATTCCTTTCGGATCCCTATCTGTACAGTTGGTGCACTACGGCACTAAAGAGTGCTCTTTATTTCTTTCGGCCTAAGTCGGTTTATACGGAGATTTGGCACCTTACACGGTTCCCTAAACGGTGATTTGCAATCTGGCTTTACTCCCAAAAGAATTCCGAGGGTTTTAAGATGCCATGGATGGTGCTCATGAAGCGAGACCTTCAGGGGCTCTCGCTAGGAGGAAAGTGCCTAGCGATTAGGGCTCCGAAAGGAATAAATGAATGCGAATATACAGCATATTCATATTCGCACTGCAGGAATATGAATATATGAATTTTTATTCACGCGAATAAACGCATTATTCATATTCGCATTCATATTATTCATATTGTGAATTTTATCCGCATTAATACTTTGTCCGGTACAACGGTTCTCGTATTACCGAAATACGTTAGGGGTTAATTTCAAAATGCCATCACTTCATCGACAGCGTTGAACCGTAGAATGTCATTCCAAATATATGCTAGAATTCAAGATCCGCTTATCTACTAAGCTGCAGTGGATTGTTTTGAGGTACCATGCTCATCCACAAGCGTCTGATCATGGAGACTTTAGGGCCAGTAGAAAAGAGCGGTTGAAATTATATATATCTATGACCCAGCTTCATATCATCTTGTTTGGTCTATTTGATTATACCCACTAATTCCCGTAGTTTCATTGTGATCCATTTCAAATTTCGTCCATGCACTGTGTACGATGAATGGCACGTAGAAACACGTTTGCCTCACAATCTAGAGCCTCCAATGACCCTGGCTGCATTTTGTTTACATTCTGTTTACGCTCAATGTTATGAATAGCGCGCTGCAGAAATAGAGAAGTGACCTATCGATTTTCCACTTCATAAAGGGCATATAAAGCGCGAAAATGACCGAGATTGCCAACAATCATCCCACCCTCCAGTCACCCTCTCAGCTCTGCCTGATTATTCAAGTAGCTCAAGGTATGTTATGGATCATTGTTGAGACCACTTTGATATACTGACCCAGAAAACACTAGCATGGCATCTACACCTGCTCCATTCGTGCGGAGGACGCGGGGTCTTCCACGCCGGGACTATAATGCTCTACACAATGGCCTGGTTTCATCACCTTCTGAGCAATCCGAGGAATCCATTTGTGAAATAGGACGCCCGTCTACGCTTTCCATTGGGGGTAGCAGCATGACTAGCCTTTCCCCGTACGATCAACGATCACCGGGTGGTCTTTCCCCGAGCTCCGACCTCGATACCTATCACGAAAAATCGATCCTCAACCCTAGTTCCCCTGCAGCACTGATCCAGCCAACAATCGCAAGGGGTCTCCCCGGTCCAGCCTCCCTCGAACCGCCTACAACGGATGCCAACGGGAAATTGTCCGTGCCAACGACGATCCTGAACGTTTCAAAACCCGCAACTTCAAAACTTGGCGGATTATTCATCTGCGATTGTTGTCCAAAGAAACCCAAGAAATTCGACAACCCAGATGACCTCCGGTAAGAGCCCACCAACCCCCTCCCCCAAACATGTATACTAACTCCAAAATCAGCTCGCACGAAATGGAAAAACAGTATGCATGCGCCTACTGCAACAACCGCTTCAAAAACAAAAACGAAGCAGAACGCCACCAAAACTCCCTCCACCTTCCGCCCCTACTCTCCGGAACCCTCTCCGTCTAGGGGCCCTGAGCAAACACGCCAATCTAAGCGGTCCTACTGTATGCCTAGTTCTTCCCCCTCCCCGCTTGATCCCGCGTTTTCAGAGAGCACGAGCAATACGAGTAGCTTGCATCCGCATAAGAGACGAAAAACCAAGTCCTATTCTAGTTGGACCACTGAGCACTTTTGGACCACAGAACTGGACAACTCTTGGTGTCGACAGGGCGGCCCCTTGAAGAAAGACCGATTGCTGGTTTGCAAGCACTGTAGCTGGTCCTCCAGGGATTCGGCGCGCTATGGTTCCACTTGGAATTTGTTGGTGCATCTCCAGACCAAGCATCGTATCAAATCCGGGAATCACCCTATATTGTTGCCCACGGCCGAAGGGAACCTCGACCCATTCTTGGAGTCGCCGGGGAAGAAGGCTGATGTTGAAAAGACGCTAGTCCAATGGGTCATTCAAACAAGGCAGCCTTTCACGGTAGTGGAGCATCCGGCGTTCAGGGCACTTATTGAAGCAACGGGGGTTAAGTTGCCTATCAGGACCGCTGACACTCTCTTCAATCGAATCAAGGACGAATTCCACTCAGATAGGGCTTGCGTGAAAGAAAAGCTTGCTATAAGCAGTCGAACACTCGCATTATCTCTTGACGCTTGGACTTCGGAGAATCAGATCGCGATAATGGGTATCATGGGTCATTGGATCTCCCCGAGTTTGAAAAGCGAGAAGAGCTTCTCGAGTTCACGGATATCAATGGACCACATTCTGGAGAAAATCTTGCGGAGATTGTGCTAAAGATGCTCGAGGAACTGGACATTGCGCCTAAACTCCTGACTATCACAGGAGACAATGCGGGCAACAACGGGACTCTATGCGATAGTCTGCATGACGAGCTCTGCAAAAAGTACGACAACGATGATGACCGCTTTCGCATCAGGCCGCTAATGCGGTTCCGTGGACGACAGAGCTTTATCCCTTGCCTTGCCCACGTCCTCAATCTGATTTGCAAGGACGTGTTAGCTTCTTTGAGGGCCGGCTCGGCACGAGAGGCGAAGGCGATGCTGGACGACTTGGCCGTCAATACTAGCTCAGCATTTAACTCCCTTCACAGCACGAAAGGAGCAATCATGAAAATCCGGCTTTTGACGCTATGGATCGCCCGCAGCCCACAACGCCGCCAAGATTGGAAAGAAGTGTCACCAGGCAAGCAAATCAGCTATGATATTGACACCCGATGGAACTCAACATATGTCATGATCCAAGACGCCCTCCGGCTACAGACTGAGCTGGGGCAATTTGTCCGGATACATCCAGAAGTCCAGGCCCTTCAGCTCACCGATGACGAATGGTCGACGCTTCAGCAAGTAGCCAAGATTCTCAAGCCGGTTTGGGACCACACAAACTCCGTATCAAAGACTCGCCCGACAATTGTGGAAAGTCTACCAATTTATTGGAGCTTGGACGACTTGTTGAACGACGTTCGGAATGCCGCGGGAGACTTTGAAGATGTGAACACTGAAATTCGAAATGCAGTGGAAAGAGGGATTCGGAAGATGAACAAGTTTGCCATGAAAATGGACGACAACCTTCTTTACTACGTTGCTTCCGTGTTGGTTCCGCGTATCAAGTCGTCCTTGATTGTATCGCAGATGAGTGACCAGGATGCAGGGCTCATCATTTCTCAAGTGCGCGAGTTTCTAAAGAAAGAATATCCTCCGGAGGCCTTTACCTTGCATGAATCTGAGAACTCACGTCCGCCAGGGATGTCGGAAACCATGTGGAAAACTCTGCGCAAAGTTCAGCCTGCCCAAGGAAAACTTTCATCTGATATCGATAAATATTTGGACTCACCACCGGTCAGCTGGTCCCACCATATGATCGGCGATGCGGACGAAGAATGGGTCCTGAAATGGTGGAGGGCCAACGAATTTAATTTCCCTCTAATGGCAAAAGCCGCTCGCGATTACCTATCGATCCCCTCAGCAGAGGTCGGTATTGAACGTGAATTCAGTAATGCCAGAGATATGTTGGGTCTCCGAAGACACTGCCTAAATGCAGAGACTATGCGATGGTTGATGCTACTGAGAGAACGGTATCAAGCATAAATTTCTGGTAATTCAAAGTTCAAAGCCTCGCATTATTACGCTGCGTAAGAACAAAATGATGAACCCTATTGATGTATTGGGATGTAATGAAATGAATGGTAATGTATGGGATCTGCGTATTTGGGATAAATATGAATTATTCATTTATTCATGATTAATGCGAATATGAATAGACGGCTTATTCATATTCATATTATTCAATTCATTTAATTCATATTCGCAGATATTCATGATTATTCACAAATAATCATATTCCTTTCGGAGCCCTACTGACGATCGCTGGTTGGGTGTCACCACAGCAGCTGAGGCATCGGGCTCTTACACCCGGGGGGACTGAGCTTGAGATTCAACGATCTCTCAATGCTGCAAAAGGATATACCGCACCTGGTGAAGACGGCTTGCCGATGCTAGTGTGGAAACAGCTATGGATGCACGTCAAGGTCTACATCACGGGGATCTTCACCGCGTCTGTTGGCCTGGGATACCACCGAGGGGTCAGGGTAAATGAAATCTACATACCTACCTACCTACCTACCTACCTACCTACCTACCTACCTACCTACCTACCTACCTACCTACCTACCTACCTACCTACCTACCTACCTACCTACCTACCTACCTACCTAACTCTATCAATTCTCACTTTCTATGCGATCACTAATACAACTATATACCTCATTGGTATTCACAAACTGGGAGAAACTGCCTTCAGGCTGCCTTCAGGACCACACACGTTAGCGCCACTTCTTTACAAACCATCCTCGAATGCCCCAGCATAAAGAAGAACATTTGTGATTTTCCGAATAATTCAGACGCTTTGTTGCCCATTACAGCATTTCCCTTGACGGTTTGAGGGGAACAAATAGGAACTGGTAATGAGGGGTCGCCTATAAAGCGACTTTCCCCGATATACACGCTAAATTGAGGAGCCGCATCCCTAGAAACGTAAGATATATTCCCGAAAATAGGTATACCAAATTACTTTGCTTTTACTGAACCCTAATGCCACCAAAAAAAGTGTCAACCTTCGCATGGCAGCCGTCATCCGCGCATTTGAACATGTTCTCTTGCTCCTCCTTGAAGTCATTCTTTTCGTGAAGCCATGTTGAGAGTTCCTTTTACTTTGTGAAACAATCTTGTTCCAACTTCGGCTAGATAATGATTCCTTAATGCCGTTTCAAGGAATGTTAAGGTATTTTTGGTGGGAAAGCAGTTCGGGATAGTTGTGAGATAATACATGGAAAACCTGACTCTCTGCAGTTGAGGATGTACCTGAATTATCCTTAGACTATAAAATAAAGCTAGAGAGGTTATAGACAATGAGGCGTAGTATTAAAGGGCTCTAAAGTCTTGGCCTCTCACGTACAATAGCCAAAATGGTCGAAAGAATCATAACCTCTCACTGTGCTATCTGGCGACAGATCCGTGAATAAAGACCCACTTAGAAAGGCTTCTGGGTACTGAAGGTAGTAAGGAGTGCCGTAAACTGGCTGACTAGCACTTGGAGTAGGTGGAGAATCATGTGCAAGGCGGGTAGGTCTTGTATTAACCGGGTAGGTCTCAAAGAAGTCACGTTTCCTCTTCAGAACATATGGAGAGACACACAGAGAGTCAAAATTTGATTGATGCTCGAGTATTTGGTGTTGGGGCTTGATATCTGCGATTTGACTGGGGCGGGCATTATGGCTCAACGATGAATCTGTGGAGAACTCTATGTCGGGTGCATCCACAGTAGAGGCGAATCTCGGGCAGCCTATAAAAGGCTTGGGTTCTCGAATGGTGGCTGGATTAATTGGGCTGCTATCTCCGCTGCCGTCTGTAGTGCTAGCATCTGTTCCTGCTGATTTCGGAAGATTTGCACTAGAGTTCCAAGCTATGGTTTGTTCATCTACAGGAAAGGGATATAAGCCTCGTAACGACCAAGCCTTCTGTGGGAACGCCTACCGTTTGTTCCCATTAAGATCTGCTCTTCTTGTTGCCTGACTTGGTACAGCTCATCCAGGATCTGTAATCGCTCGGGTGGAAAAATCTGAGAGCGGATTGGCTGATCAGCTTCTTGAAGTTTTGCGACGGAAATCCCGTGGCTGATGCGCAGCTCGCGAAGAATATGAACCAGAAGTCGGATGCGTTCTATTTGTGGTCAGGAACATGCTGTACATTTGCAAAACAATAGGACTCCTGCCAACTTTGGGGAGGTGATCTGGCTCCCGATAGCTTACTCCAGAAGGCCACCACGGTGGTTTAGTACCTGGGGATCACACTGCCTTGTAGTCCCTGAAACAATCTTTCGTCCATTGTATGGATAGTTCACCTGCTTGCGAGGCTCCACAAGCTTGATATAGGCTTTCGCAAGGATTCGGCAATTTGTCTGTTGTAGACTCTCGAAGGCCTCTGTATAATACAAGGTCAAGTGATCTCGGTTGTTGACGGATATCACGGCTCTCTTGTCGTTATTCATATTAAAATTATTGTTGCAATCATCCTTCAAGTTAAGTGAGGGAAGTTCAGTAGGCAAGCGGAATTTAGACTGGTTGTAGATAGGCCACACTGTACGCTGAAAGGAAGTGGCTACTGCGACCGGATTTCGGCCCTTAATCCCAAGATTCGTCCCAGTGCAGGGTGCCTGAGCCACCTGCAATGAGTGAAAAAGGGTTGGCAATCTTTGTCATTGCTCGCTTGGGCGACGCTAACATGCCGTGTTTCACTAACATTGGTCATCAATTCAACACAGTTCTGGGGCCAACGTAATATTCACCTTGATATTTCGAAATGCAGGCCTCGCTTGACATACTCACGGCTCTCAGAAATTCATCAATCAACCTAACGGATTGTACCGCTGGCCAATTATTTGCGATTGACTCTGAGACTTGTAGACGAACTATGCCATCTGCGTCGATATATATGAGCACAAAGTAGGTGTAAGTCAATTTGTCAAGACGTGTGTCTGCCGGAATTGTTGCCTGCGCCTGATTGCCGTCAGTTCATTTAGACTCAGCTGTCAACTAAGTAAATAATATACCATGAAGCACGGGTCTATAGATTTATCTTTAACATCAAGGACTGGTTGGATAGCTGTCTCGGTCAGATGCTTCGACCGGGTGGAAGTTAACCATAAAACTCACACAGTCAGAGTCCATTCTTATTGAACAGCTGCGAGGGAGGTAAGTCTATCTACTGCTAGGGATCCCCCCTAAATATTTATACCTTGAATGACAGTCACCAGTTCTTGCCAGGTGTGGCAAGCTAACCGGCACTGCAAAATCTGTCAAACGTGTGAACAGTGCGGCAAACTTTAATTCTTTAATAGGTTACAATATCTTGGTTATTTTGGAGCTATCTACAAAGCACTGGCTACTCTAGACCGCTCCACGTATGCATAGGGCCCGAAATGGTTGTCTACATCATTGCCTCTTTCATGCCTGTCACCAGAAAGATTGCCTTCATAGAAGTATATGTTGTCATACGAAAAATTACCACAGTGCCGGATGTAACAAACCTAGAATGCGGATCAGCCGCAAGGCGTTCGTAGGCGTTCGTAGCAGACCAAACCTCCTAGCGTCAACCCACACACGGGATGAACGCTACACGTATGCTGTGCTTGACACTGCTAGGATGATGAAATCAGTGGATCATTACTAGAAGAAATCTGATGAGCCCGGGACCTTCCCATAGAATAGATCTAGCTCGAGCTGTCCTTAACGGACTGCTACATCTCTTCTTGTCTCTGGTCTAGGAATACATTATATCACGAGGGGTTCTTGAGAGAATTTTCAGGACAGCCACAAGATAAAGTTTGGGACCTCTCTATGTGTCCAAGTTTCCGCGGTCGGGATATTTCCGGGGTAATGTCAAGGTCGCATCTCTCATTAGCCGGGAAAACTTCCCAAGTGTCGATCAGTGTCGATCAGGGTCAATCACCCCTGTATGTGCATACATGAAACTAAATTTCAGGATTTGGCGAGAATTGCGCCAAAAAATAGGGTTCCATGGAATTGTTTACGGCTGATGATAGTGATCCTTACGTCCTGATCGACACTGACATTAAACGGCTCCAATGGTCCGTGTGTCTCTGGATTGACTAGGTAAGGCCTTGATTTCCGGCAAGAACCTCCTGCTAAACTTCCTATATTAGGTTTAGCACGGTGCTATGGGCCGGCTAGTCCCATAGAAAGTATTAAGGCCAACAAGGTTGATCGGGCTGTCGACCATGTGCCACTAGCGATTTGGAATAGATGGCACGTAGTGTCTAAGGAGGCTCGCTCAAGTGACTGTTTCCTCGTGACTCCTACGGATAGAGACGGGGAATACGTTCTCTTATTTCGTGGAAGCGATTGCGCTTGTGCACATACTCTCCCTCTATCTCGCCGGGGGGATAAAATCTTAATTTGGTTGAGACATTTGGCTTATCATTGAAGGATTTCTGGTCGGCAGAAAATGTCAACCACGCAGATGGCGCCTATGGCTTATCGTATATGTATGTACGCGGGCAATAAGAAGGCGCCCTAAATTGAGCAACCAATCCGGAGTTGCTTCTAAATTAGGTAATTTCAACGCGCAAGCCTTTCTGCACAAGGCAAAAAGGTACAGTTCCAAGGATGAACCGACCAGCTACAGGGGCTCCACATAAATGCGGGCGCTCGTAGCGCGCAGGGTGACGGCCCGCGCGCACGGCTCACGCACGCCAGCAATCGGTTTGGACCACTCGATCAAAAGTTCGCGCGATTGGCAATGGGACCTGCCATGTTAAGACACGAGGACATGTGATGTGGCGCACTGATAGTGATGGCGAATTACGGTGGTAACCCTAGGTCAGAATGGTCCTGCTTTGAAGCAAAAGTACACACTGTCCTGAATCTTGCAGCTGAACTAGCAACGTACACAAAGCAATCTGATAGGGGCCGTCCTCCTGGATCTTCCTATTGGCAAACTGTTCAATGATCGAGCACCCGAAAGCGTGCAAGTTCATTGCAAAGCAAACTCGTTCCAGAGGTATAGTTAACTAAATATTAGGTCCGATTTTGACAAGCTGTGAACTGTTCCGTATTGGCAGGGTATTCTCTCCGCGTGTGTGTTGTGCTATTAGAACTTTGAAGTGGGCTACCCAGGTACCTTAGGCGTTCGCCTCGTACCAATACCGCATCTGTTACATTTTGTAGCCTTAATAAAGAGACTGTCTTTTAAAATTCCATAAACAAAAGTGGCTGGCAAACTGAGGCCCCACGACAAAACAGGGCCCCCGCTGGGATCGACTCGCTTCCGTTCGCGCTATGCGTCTCCGTTCAAATTGTTCGAGTTGATACCCCTGCTGCTGCACGTCAGGTCACAGAGCCAGATCTAGGCTAAACAAGGGCCCGTGCTCCATGGGACACTCCGTTCGAGTAGTTCGAGTTCTTGACCCAGTTGCTACAGGTTGGGTCACGGAACGCGGTCAATCGCTGGGCAAATATGGGACCGTGCTGGATGCGACCCTCAGTACAAGTTGTTCGTGCTCTTGACCGGATCAACTGCTGGACAAACAATTGACTGTGCTCCATACGACTTTCCTCCAAGTTCGATTCCTTGGCCCCTGTTGCTGCAGGTTCGGTCACAGAGCCTGGTCGACTGCTGGACGAACAAAGGACAATGCTCGATGCAACACTCCGTTCAAATTGCTCAGATTCTTAACCCGGTCGACCGCCGACTGACAACAATTCCGGCTCGCTACAACTTCACTTCCGTTCATCTCTGTGGCCACTGCTCGTGCTGGCTGCTACCGCAGCATATGATATGGTCGGAGACGTTCTCGAGAGGGTTTCGATCTGCGCTCGGAGCCCTTGTACTTCTTCACGTAGCTCATCATTCTGGGCTTTGTGCACTTTCTGGTCGTGTTTGACCTCCAGGAGCTCCGCTTTGGTGGACTCGACGACCGTGGTTTGGTGGGTGATAGGATCCTTAAGGTTGTCGATTTGTCGTCGAACTTTCCTGGTTAGTGACTCGCCCAGTGCCCTCTCCGGGTATGTAGGACTCACTATTCCGCGGTCTTTTTTCCAGAAGAGGAGTTAGGCTGCTAGGCGCTACGGGCTGGAAATCTTCGACCGAGATGCTGTTTGCCGTTCCTTGGGTTTTTATAAGAGGGGCTCGGGAACCCCCAGTAGTGGGTCCATCATCGGTTCCCCGTTACTTCTCCCTCGGTATACAACCACAACAAGTTTGTATCTCGATCAATATGAGCAACTCAGTGTGTTCTTCAACCACGCAAGAGGTCCTCTTTCAGAACTTTCGGAAACCGGTGTCACCCCTACATTCATCGATTTACTCTCGAACCCTAATGCCAAGAAAAGCAACCTAGGAGAGCTGGCCTTTCAGATGCGCCCGGCTATTTGATATACTCTATAATTTCTTACATATTTACCACCCTATTGGCTTTATTCATCCATTTCTATCCCATTAAACAATCAGCAATCACTGGGATGGCTGTCAGAACCCAATGGAGGCCGCTTAATATTGAATGTTTAAACCGGGGTTGGTTCCCCACAAAAGCCCAGTTCTCATCGACTGGACATACAATGGTCAACGCAAACCCGAGGATTAACGGAACAAAGAAGCCCATGACAGATGTACTTTCTAGAGACTGTCGTCGACACCTAGACCAAGTTTCGACCCATGACGTGAGATGAAATCCAAGCAAACAAGCCAAGCTTTCCGTGCAGAAACATTTCTTTCGGACATCTCCTTCAGCCAAGCTATAGCCTTTCCCAGCTTCGGCATGACGCTGATTGTGCCAATTGTGCCTAACCTGGTACGGATAAGGGACTCTGTAAAAATCATGGTAATAGATTGCATGAAATAGTGGAGAGCACACCACCATGGACAAACACCATACAGCCAAGTCAAGTCTGGCTTATCAGGTAGTAGTTCGAGTAGTTGACCCGCAGCCTGAATGCAAATGGCCGTCATGGAATCAGAGGCATCGACAGGAACGTTCGACATTCCTGGTGATCTGTAAATGAGCCGGCGAAGAGAGGTTTGCGTGATAAAAAGTTTTGTCGAATAGAAGTGGAAAGCGAGGCTGGCACATTGACGCTTTAGGGGCCCAGCTTTGCTTATGACTTTGAAATCGTAAAGGGCTGGGAGCGAACTAAGCCAATTATCCGCATGGTCGTTCAATGAGGAAATTGCGACCTCTATCTCGACCCATGACTTATGGGCCGCACTTGGTGCGTAAAGGATATCAATTGCCTCGCGCGTTATGATCGTGAGTCTCGCAGCGTAAAGAAAGCACAACGAGTCGTTTGGTCGTAGCGGCTCCGCTACAACTAGTGCAGACTTTCCCTTGAGTGATCGCTTGCTTGATGCTGGATAACTTAACGGTACACTTTCGGTCAAGCTATCCTTCGACATATTTCCACCCCTATTGGAAAGCAACGTTGCCATAAGGCAGCCGCGAGCACCTTTGTCTATAATGTACCTCAAGACATGGTCGCTCTGAAGATTCCTCTCCTCAAAAGGTATAGGAAGCGGTGTTGTGCAGAATACCCCACTAATGCTCGGAGGACGCCCAGTCATCAGAGAAAGCGAAGTATCCAACATATATAAAGCCCACCACATCCGATATCTAATCTCTTTCGATAATGGGGAAACACTCTGACTCTCACTACGGAGATGGAGCCCCATAATCAGAGCAGAGCGGATCGCAATACCACAACACTTCCATGACCTAAAGCAGAAACGCCATTAGTAAATCTCGTAGGGAAGGTCAATACGGGAGCAAGAATTTAGCACCTGTTGACTTGGCCACGTTCAAGAAGGTAAAAGGCTGCTAAGCCCTCGACCTGCACCTGCTGCAAATTAGGATGATTCCACATAGACGCCTTGTCCATGCTAAGTATCCACGCCCGTGAAAAGTACGATAAATGCGGATATTCATTGCACTCAGTTAGCTTCTTCACGCGCGATAGGTGCATTGCCGCAGTGGCAAACATGAAATTCAACACAGCCAACCATCGCTTCCCGGGTCGTGCGGTTGGATCCGAATAATACGATCGGTATTGAGCTTCAAACGTCATTTTCCCAATGATCGGGAATGAAGGATGAATGATTTGGAAATACGTGCCGACAAGGTGGTCGGCCATGCCCTGCGAAGGCCGTTCTAACAGATCCACTTCATCTCGTATCCCCATGTCCCAGTCATTGTTGTAGTAGTTCATAGACGTGACGGACGGTCGAATAAAGTTCTCCTGGGATGTGGATGGCGTGACAGAGCTTTGTTCGAGTGCGTATTTGAGCCTGCACAACCATACCATCTCTGTGTGTTCACCAACAAACCCCAGCGCCTGCATTTCTCCAAGGCTGTTGAAATCTTCTTTCGTGTAGTCAACGGTGACTAATGGATATTCTGTTGCATTGCGGGTTTTTGGTAGACCAGGGGCAGTCGGCGGGGTCCGATCATGGCTCGAAATCTAGGCATCGTCAGACAATGTGAAGAGAATCGTTTTGAAGATGAGCTAATTTAGCTTGCCACGTTAGGCCTGGGGGGAAAAAGGAGGAGGGGGTGTTTGGGGCTGCTGCTGGGGCTGAGCTCACTTTACCCAAGGTTCGGTCAACATGCTGGGCAGATTGGACGTCGAGTCTTGGATAGAGATCACGCAACAGATCCTCTAACATGCCAATCTGTACGTTTAGATTGCTGAGCTGCCTAATAATCTCCGTTAGCAGTTGGTTTGCTGCGCAAAGTACTTTTTTCCACGCACTTGTCCATCTTCTCTCCCTTTCGATAGTCGTAGTGGCAGGCGATACCAATCTCCACACATCTATGACAGGCTGGCCGATGACCGCTGCATTTGATCTTCGGCCCACGGCAACCTTCGCATGCTTGACTGACTCGGGCCCCTTTTTTCCAGCTTACTGGAGTAGATGTCCGAGGGATAGGAACTTTGGGGTTCGGTCCCTCATGACTAGAGCGGAGAACGATTCTCCTTAATGAATCTTCAGGGTTGCTGAAAGGGTGGTCCAAGAAAGGATGGTCGGGAGGATCAATTGACTGAAAAGGCTCTGCTAATTGGTGGTCACGTAGAACGAAATCTTTGGATGAGGGAGGCCGTTCGGGGAACGGCACTAGATGGGAGTTAGTGCACCCAGACATCCCAGCTTCTGTTTATCCTGCTTCCTCGCTGGAAGACTTGACCAATTGGAGCTATTTGGAGATGTGAAAAGCAGTCCGTTCGATGACCTTTTTATACTTTTGAAAATTTGCAGATCCTTAGTTGCCATTCTCTCCTTCAAGCTATTCCTTGCATGAAACAATTCTCATTCCACAAATGATCTGAGAAATGCAAAATACAAGAATTAAAAGAATATAACACCAATCTCTTCAACACTTCACACCAACCCATCATCCGTTCGCGCCAGTGATGTTCATCACCTTGCATTTCAGCACTTTGACTATTCAACCGGGGAAAAGAGTCCCACTGACCCATAGCATTGTCGTTTAATAAAGTATACCATGCAGGAAGGGACTTTGTCGGGATTTGCAATGCAGAACGCGCTTACACGCCGATGATGATACGGTATTGCTACGCTGTTGTGTGTTACTGCCCAAGGGTAGTGTGTGGTTGTAGGGGCCGTAACAGCAACGTTTCAGTCCCCGTTCTAAGGACTGACACCATGTTGAGCGTCATCTGGAACCAGGCTGCACGAGAACGGTTCAGTGGAATCTAGGAGACAGGTGCAACCAACAGGCGAAAACCTTACATCTAGAACCCATCTCATTTGGGACTGAAATCAAAAGCGAATAAGACCGGTTTTCTCGAACTACCTACTGACACCTTACTCCTCAAGTGGCTGGCCAACTTGACCCTCCCAATAAATCTAACAGCGGAACTGGGATTCTACCAGCAGTTTCAATATGCACTCAAGCTGGGGTCCGCGGAGATGAGATGAACGCCGTTAATTTGTTAAGTCTCCTATTTTGTTTTCATGCTCTATCGTTCTAGTCTCCTGCCTGATACGTACTGCTGCTTAGGGTGAGAGCTGTATCAATATATAGATTATTGCTATTGGCCGGGGAATGCAACCGCGGCCCATGCGCCGGCGGAAGTGTCCCGGCTATTGGCTCGGACCAATGAGCTATAATTACATTCCCCAACGTGGCTCCCGCCAAGGCCCCACAATGTGAAAGTTGTTGAACAACACTAGTAGATCTGATATCACTTGCTTAGGCAGAGGTATCACTTGCCAAGGCAGACCTAGGCCTTGGCAAGTGGAGCTGCATTAAATTTCTTTTGGTTCCGGTGTAGTGGTGCGGCGACCTTACCTATTTCGGTACTTTCATTACCTAACTCTTCTTTTAGTGCGGTTTGTCAAGGCCTAGGCGGAACTAACTCTTCCAATCCCCTCGTAAAATAAGTTACCTAGGGGATGATAATTAGTAAGCGCAGCTCGCAAAATGAGAATACGACGCAAGAACCGCTATTTGTACCTGTAAACATAATCAATGTCGAAATACTTCCCGACCTTTTCTTTTTACTATATAGGATCCAGGTAGTTGCGCGGTCACTCCGTCCCTCACATACCTTAAGGAGATTATTGCAAAGCAAACTCGTTCCAGTGGTATAGTTAGCTTAATACTAGATCCGATTTTGCTAAGCTGTGAACTGTTCCGTATAAGCAAGTACACCTTGGTATTCTGTTTGTGTGTGTTGATCTTGTTAATAGTACTTGGAGGCGAGTTACCCAGGCAACTTAGGCATTCGCCTCGCACCCAATGCCACCTCTGCCTACATTTTGCGACCTCCATAAAGAGACTGTCTTTTGAAATCCAAGAACAAAAGTAACCGGTGAACTGAGGGCCCGTAACATCAAATTAAAGGTTGTAAACTGAGTGATCATTTGGTGAGTCAACTTATCCATTAATGTAGTGACCGTGATCTTTTCGGGCCTCATGATAATTTCCTTGTCTTTAGCTGAACCTTATAGCGGTATTTATGAGGTGGTGTACACAGCACGAGCTAAAAGAACTGCACATTTTTAACGTCACGTCTCATGAACGAGACATTTGACTTCCAGTCTGTTCACTAGAACCACCAGAAGTGACGCTTTCAATGGTAGATGTGGAAATGAATGTCGAGCTGTTAAATGTCAACATGGTGTGGAGGAGTTTCGGGCGACTGAAGTGATAGAAGCACAGGTACGGTCCGTTCTGGGGCAAGATATCTGATGGTCAGGTGCTTACTGGTGAACAGCACTTTCAGACAGGCTCTAGACTTCCAACCGAAGGAACAGCGCTACGACTATCGTTCAGGGACTTCGTGACGGAGGAGCTCTCACGAGGGCACGTGGGTCTCTGTTACGCAAGACTATCGGGTCGTCGCTAAGTTAGAAGGTTCCGGGTTATACTTGCCTAATGCTTTCTCTGCTTCCAACGTCAACGATCTGTCTCTCAACCGTACCGGTGCCTAACAGGCCTTATACGGGCTAAGTCCTTTTGAGGGTATCGAGGAGCGATGCCATGTAGAGCGCCGAACGGATCTATACCGCAAATACCAATGAGATGGCAACCACGTGATCATGCAGGTAGTAGAAAGGTCGACAGTCGACAAGTAGAACAGTTCTACTCTTCTGCCTTCTACTGTTCTACTATGGAAGAACTCAGGATATATAAGGAGACCCATTCATGTACTTAGTTTAGTTCTTCGTGTTCAATCGTACATTGTTACTTGTGTCTACTGTTCAGAAACCTTGGTAACCCTTGATTAACGTTATAACTTGACAACACTATGACCAGACCAGTACTTCGGTATACAATGAGATGGCGAGGCGCATGCCGGAAGTGGCCTTACCGTCACCTAGCGTTGTGGTGTAATCTTGGGTCGACGGTAGAAGAGGAGCCGAAACTGGCGCCTGTCTTGACTGATTGATCACCCTGAGCGCTCAGGCTGAAATCACGTGATCCCATGACAGATAGATTTAGACCTCGCCAAAACCCGCCCACAACCCAAACCCGCCCACGAAAACCCGCCCCACGGGTTGGGTCGGGTCTTAGTCAGCAGACCCGTGGGCGGGTCTTCATTTTGAGAACCCGACCCGCGACCCAAATGGGTACCCATATAACCCGCGATAGCCAAAAAAGAGTGATTTGTCAGCTAGCATAAAATAATGCCGTATCTTTGATTTATATCAAGGTATGGCTCTGGTATAAGTATGGTCTAAAGTTTTGGAGTACATAAATTTGAGGAATAAAACAGATTAAGCTTAATTCATAGACTAATACAGCTCGTAACCCTGCAGCCGGCTTGAAGGTACTGTTACCCTACCGGATGATCTCTTGTGAGACCTATCGCCGAGGCGTGTGACCGGAGGTGGGAGCAAATCTCCATCGTCGTCCTCATCTTCGGCCACTTCAGCCATCGCCGCATCTTGCACTTGATCATGGGCTGGAAGTTCCTCTGAGGCTGTGCTTTCTACTCCACTTACCCCTTCGACGGCGAGACCTGTTTCGGAATCCTCAATGGGATCGTTCTCCTCGACATCGCTGATAGGAGCAATATCGTCTTCAGTCTCCTTTAACGCCTCATCTTCTTCGAGGGCTTCCTGGCCCTCCCTCTCAACCGCTGGACTTTCCAGAAGACTCAATTGCCGGCTCTCCAAAGTGAATCTTTCCGAGCACATGTACATCATCAAGTCTTGAATGGTTGTCTCGTTGAGGGATCCGCGGCGGTAATGGCAGATATCCCGTGCGCTGTTGAATAGCCTTTCAACTCCTGCGCCCGTAGCAGGGACCGAGAGCAAATCGCGAGCCAGTCGCGACAGGACTGGAAATTTACGCTCGTTCTCCTTCCAATATGCGCGGGGAGGAATTGAGACAGTTGCTATGAGGAATTAGTCTGTCATCAAGCTTCAGCGGCCCGATAATACTTACCCTCGCGAAGATATCGATCGACCTCGTCATGCTCGAACCCTTCGTTGACTTGTGCGTCTTGTGACGGCCCAAGAAGCCGATCTAACTCCGAGGCTTGCAAGGAAGGGCGATGCACGGTACGGAAGAGCATCTCAGGATTCCGTTGCTGATATTGCGAGAAACATGTCCTGAGGTATTCACAGTATTTTTTGGAAGTTTCACTGTGGCACTGCGAGTACTCTGCGTCGTCAAAAGCGCAAAGCTTGTATTGAGGAGCAAGTAGGGTCCCCGTGCCATAGAGGAAGCCGTGATCACGATACGTCTTTTCGTAGTATTCTCTCAGCTTCTGCTTCGCGACAAGCAGCGCTCCATACATGTCCTTCTTCCAGGGGGTCGTCTTTTTTCTCAATTTTCGATTTGAGCGTTCAATGTGTTCCAGTAGCTTCCTGTACACGAGGAAGACGCTGTGAATTGTCACGTCTTTTGTCTTCATCAGGGCCATGGTGAACTGAAAGAACGGCTTCGTCAAGTGAACAAGATAGTCAATTTGCCGCCATTCAATGTCAGTGATTTTAAATTGTGAATAGTCATGGTCTCGGCAGTATTTGTCGATGGTATTCCTTAGTCGGCGCGCTCGTCGAAGCATCAAGAAGGTGGAATTCCAGCGGGTCTGAACATCATGCAACGGGAAAAGTCGCATTCCACCAGATTGGAGGCACAGGAATGCATCTCGCCGCTGGGGGCTGGCGTTGACAAAAACTGCAAAGGACCGAATCTGTGGAAGAGGCACCGTCAGCAATGTCCAAATATGACGGGTCCGAAATCAACGGACTCGCCTTTGCTAGAGTATGCGCCACCTCACCATGGTCCACTGAGTCCCTGAGACAAAGAGCTTGTGAATTGGACCAAAAACTTCTCACTTCTTTATTCTTGGGAGCAGCTCTGATATGCCCCAACAGCTGCTTGAGGCAAAGCTGAATCACATGGGCCATGCATGGAACACGGACAATGGATTCTCTCGAGCCGATGGCGCCACTAGAAATGAGTGATTCTTGCAGCGCTCGGATGAGGGTTTCATTATTTGTTGCATTATCCGTGGTAACGCTGAAGATACGACCCAATAGCTGTCTTTCTCTGAGCAGCTGGAGGAGCACGTCGCTCAAATTGACTCCTGTGTGAGGTCCATGCAAAGGCTCAAACCCAAGAAGCAGCTCGCGGTAGTTCCAATCTCTATCGATGAAGTAGAC